TGGTGATGCCTACAATTCGCTAATTGCCCCCCTCCCCCTAAGTGGGCGGTTCTCTCCCCCCCTCTCTTCCCTCCAAGTTCCTCTCTCTCTCTCTCCCTCTCTTTACCGTCCGTCTTAGTTGCAATCCTTATACTCATATACTATTGTACACTATGCATTGTACCGACATCATTCCTTGATAACTCAAAACTTTGATTACAATTTGATATTGCAATACTTATATTTTTTTAAAGAACTATGCTTTGAAAGGTTATACAGTAATATAAATTATATCAATACTAACCAATGTGCAATTACTTATTACTGATCTTTAAATGTGGCCTGCCTTACTTCAGTATTATCAGCCCAGGAATAATGATACGATTTTATTGTTTTTGTTACTCTATTTACTCTCATTAGTTCTTGACTGTAAATACTAAGAACTACTAAGATAGTATTTTACATGAAGCAGAAAATGAAATTTGTATTTTTAAGTGTTTTTTTATAACTCAAATTATATCCGCTTAACTATGTAGCGCATATCCGCTAAACTTTGCCGATGAAATATGAAACCCTCAAAGTTACCCACAACCATTAAGACAGTTTGTTCAATTTCTACTTCACTTCCAACCCATGGACCTATAGTTTTCTAATCACTACTTTAATGCTTACATATTTTATTTATATTGTCGCGCCGGCGACGTCACAGCGGACACGGCTGCACTGCTGTATCTGTCTTCGTGCCAGCTGCATTGTAGTCTCAGATGGTCTACGCTATTTCAACTGAGTAATAGCTGTTTGGATATCCGTTTGCTATTTCTAATTCGCTTATTTTGCCAAATTTCGCTCGTTTGCACTGTTTTCAAGGAAAACTTGATGAATGTACTTATTGTGTCCTGGTTTATGGAAACACCGTAGACGCGTTATTATAATTTATTTGCAGTTTGTTTTGCTAAATTGCACATTATAACGTTTTAATGTTTCTTTGTTCAAAAGTGTGATATTCTACGGTAAAAGATTTAGATTAATTCGACGATGTGACAAGTTTCCTGGTGGTCAACGAAGCCCGTCGCTTAGTTGGGCGTTTGCCAGCAAATGTTGGAGAGCAGTCTATTGCGAACTACACTGTTGCTCCGGTGTTCTACTCTTTAGGTCACTCGGATGTTAAATGATCACTTGTGCAACACACCTCGCATAAACGTTTGTTGCTGCGTGTTGGTTTCCTACATAATAGTTATTGAAGGGTAAATAGTTTTGTTCGAAACCACACACTATAACATTACCATTGACTACAATTTTACAATGTTTACCCACAATGTCATCGCAACACCTATTAGTGATACATAAATACAACACGTCATTGACAGCCTATACGCAGTGGTGATATCACAGCCCCGACCAGACATATTTCATCGCGTCGTTTATCATCGCCTCCATTTGTCCACAGAAGTACTCATTGTGAAGACACAAAAGCTGAAAAAGGAGTAATATTGTCGATCCGAGTTTTGTAAAGCTGTGATTATCGACCTCGAGTTCTGTTGCCCTCCATATTCATAATGAACAAAGCCGTTCTTATCCGGAATCTGCAGTGAGCTCGACTGTCAAACCGTGTTACAAATGACGCCCTCCGCACCCCCCTACATATAACCCCCCCCCCCCCACTGGGGACGAGAGGGTTATAATTGTCCCGGCGGAGGCAGAGCACGTCTCGCACCAAAAACTAGATTAATGCCGAGAATTAGCATAACTTAGACTGTGGATTAGTGTAGGACTGTTTGTCAGTGTCGAGGAGAGCACAAAAACCCGGAGGAAACAGTGTTTTCTCACGGAGAAAATGGGCACTCGACGTATAGAAACTGAACTGCTCACATCACCCGGGCATTAGCATATGTGAGGTAAAACAAACCTGCGTGGGGATGCCGAGAAAATGAGGTTTTGAATGAGAAAAGAATCGCTTTGAGGTAACCATTAGGTCTTGCCAGGATTTAGAACAATCCTTGAATGGAAGTGTTTCTTTGTAAGTTTGTCTCTAAGGTTTAGAGCAGTTAAAGATTTTTTACATAGTCAACCTAATAGAAATACTTATAAGTAATAAAGAAGACCCTGGTAACCTTTTTCCCCAAACGCCAATTAAGGTACCGGAAAGACACAATAAATCAATGAAATTAACTTCAAATACTTGATTATGTACACCCTCAATACGGGGACCAATTTAAATATTTATTAGCTTAAAACTCGACAACAACCACAATCTAATTTGCAAATAAGAGTGAAATCGATTAATGAAAAGTGTCCGCCAAAAATACGAGTTCCAGAAATGAGTTTGTAATGTAATCCCATGTGAGGCGTGGCAGAGGTATAAATGATGGTCGATAAAGTTTGTATTTATCAGATGCCGGATCAAGTGCTCATTAGGTGCGCTGCCGTAAGCTCCTTTAATGGACTTTGGGTTAAATCTTGTACATTCTGAAATATTAACCGCAGATGAGGCAGGTGTGTACGTAGATCATAGTGAATATTGAACTTTGATGTGCATTGAAAGCCTCAGTAGCCTGAGTAGGATGGGCGAAAAAAATACTGTCACAAGTTATAGTTTGTGCCAAGGAAAGTTTTGTTAAAACTGTATTTTCCAAAATTCCCAAAGAAACGTATGTATAACTGTATCGACGCATTGTTCGTTCATATATCTTTAATATATCACGAAAATCAAAGATTAAAAAATATATGGCCATTTAAATTATTTTATTTTATTCAACTTTAACAAATAGATTTACGAATACGTTATTACACCCACGAAATATAAACGGCACGATGAAACATACCATTATTAAAATAAATAAAAAATTAGTTACAATAGTAATGTTGCATTTAAATTAACAAAAATATATCTTACTTTCAATATTCCTCGAGCACATGGAATTGTTGTTTTACGATATAATCTATTGAAAATAAAATTCTCTGTTATATTGTTTTCACATAATTGACGCCAGTACAAAATATTCAAACACATTATTGCATAAACCCTCACAACATGAAGTGATGCAACGCTGCAGTTCAACCCTTGTATCAACCCCTCCACAATCCGCAAATCCCATGATTGCACACCCGATTGTCTTGCGGATTGTCCACATGAGGGATGGAGACACGGGATCAATTCCTCACAAATCAGGTAAACTAATGCCCCAACCCATTGTGGCTCTGACGTACACAACTCTCGTAAATTGAGTCCATGTTTATCGTCTTTTGTGCGATCTACTATATAAACCCGTCCGCATCTGTGGGAACGGTTTTGACATGAGTTTGAATAAATTGCTTGATAAGAAACGAGGGTCGAGTGTTAACGGTTATTTCTGTGATTTGTCTCAGAGTGACGTCACGAATCGGTTAGTTTTGTCTCGTCAATTGACTTGACACTGTTTGGTGTTTGATGTTAGATGAGTTAATGGTTGAAACTTGCATTGAGATTTAGAGAAATTTCTTCGATGGATTTTTGTTAGTTTGATTATAAAATATATAAAATTTCTATATGTTTAAAGATTATAGATTTATTTAATTTTGCACATTCCATATTTGACACGCTTCTTATAATTAGTTAAAATAGAGTTGAAAAATCTAAAAGTTTCTAACCACAATTCTTGGTTCAGGTATATACTAATCTCGTTAAAAAAGTATTATTCTTTAATGCATTTCCAGGTACTCATTTTTGTATAATACACAGCCCTACGAATACATATACACAGTTGAATTTTCTTACCACTTGGTCACATTTTAAAATCTTCGATAGTTCTAGTAAACAGTCAAAGATTACCTAACCCGGTATGTTTTATACAACGCACACAGTTACATATGTTAAAGTCAAACAGCTTTGGTGTGTTAACCCGGAAAATTCCCGACGAATTTATCTTATTTCGAATTTACTCAGTTTATATAATTCCAGCAAAGTAGGCTGAAGAGGGGTCATCGTTCCCATGCATAAACATGTGGTCGAGCACGTTTGAATGTACAAATGTTTATATTATTGCTTCGCTTTGTCGTTTTGATTGTAAATGTCATCGGACTAGGCGAGTAGCCTTCCTCCGACGGGTTCTAGTCTATGTCCAGCTTGGCCTCGACTCAGGTATGTAAACTAAGGAGGTAATTGGACTGAATTCGTATCATGAACCTATAAGGTTGACGATCGCTTTTTACATAATATGTACAGTGTTTCATCTCAGTCACTCGTAGTTGACTCGTTTTACGTTTATCACCTATCTCTTGACTGTGCGAGTAAGTAATTTGAACACTTTAGTTCAATTCAATAGATTTTTTTTTATACAGTGAAATGTTTGCAGCGTATAATATTTTAATGTTAGTAACAATATTCCATCAAAAACCCTTCCTTTAGATAAACAGCATCACATTTCTCCACCCGTAAACTTGTTTTATTACACCTGTGACGGTTCAGTAAATGTGGAGTTATTTCAGGTACGTTTAAGAATTGATTATAGATGTTGTGGCAGATAAAATTGCGATAATTTTGGAAATAATATAAGTAGATTGAAGTAGTAATTCTCATTAGAATATACAAGGTATGGGCGGGTGATTCTACAGAAAGTGACGCTTTCTTGTCTTTCGAGCTTTGTGTATACATCCCTATAAATATATGTATTTATGAAAATTGTATTTAGTGTGTAAAGTGTTTAGTTGACGTTTTCCAAGTAAAAAACTAATTTTTTATATGCCAAAGGTTTTTAAAAAATTATATAAATAGGTAAAATGTCAGTCCCCTGGGTTGTCCCTGGCTGAGTTTTGATAACTATTTAAGTGACCTATGCTTTACAAGTGCATCTAAGAAGCTATTTTAATTTTTAACATTAGCCAAAAATACACATATTGAGATATAATACATGTATATTATAATATAAATTTGCTTTTATGGATTTACTATTATTTAATTGTGTGTCCCTGGGGTTTTGTGTCAGTCCCCTGGTAGGAGGGAATTCTTCCCTTAGAGGGAAAAGTTGTGGGATTTTTCAGTTGCTATGGTGGTATCCAGCTTCCTTACTTCACTCTGGGATTGTATTCAGTGTTGTAGTGTCTCAAAACTCCTCTCAAGTGTTGAGAAAACCACAAGAACATTAGAAAACAGGTAAGTACCCTTTTTGATTGTCAATCCCCTGGCTAACTTAACTTAGGTATGGTAGTCAGTAAAAATAAAATGTAAATACCATTAAGTAGCAGTAAGTGCCTGTTAGTCACATGGTCCGACCTAACCTCAAAATAATTTACACAATCCATGCTAGACTGGGATTCAGCCAGAATTGTCAGTCCCCTGGTTGTCAGTCCCCTGGCCCAACTTTGCCAGGGGACTGACAAAAATGGGAAATTAAAATAGTTTAAGCTGGTTTTAGGCCAGGTTCTGGTGATGCAAAGTGTATTAATGTAGGATGTTTATGTATTGTAACAATTTATGATTTAGCCTATGATACTGTCATAGTTTAACTGGTTTGGAGTGATTGACCTACATAGTTATCGCCATACAGATAGAGATGTGTGAAGGTAAAATTTCTAGGATTATGAATTACCTACATTATGTTAATATTTTGAGATATTTACCATTTACCATCACTAATTTTTTACTACTTGTGCTTCTGGAAGGTCTACTCTAAATTTCACATAGTTTTCAAAAATAGGTCTAGTTACACAATTCAAAAATTGTTTGTTCTACTTACACTAGTGTAAGTCTAAATTTGCTTGTGAGTGTGAGGTTTTCTACCCAGGATTACCAGTAGGCCTACTTGTGTATTGTTTGTATGCTACTAATAAGATATTGTTAATTTTAGGCCCATCAAAAACATGGCGCCAAGAAAAAAACAGTCAGATAGTGAACGGTTGAAAAAAAAGAGAGAGGCAGAGAAAAAAAGACAAGAAAAAATCAAACAGGACCCAGAAAGATTAAGACAACAACAAATTAAAGAACATGAAAAATACCTTAAAAAGTTGCAAAAGGGTCAAAGAAAATTAATTGCTGATCAAAGTGATCGTGAAAAACGACAAACTAAGAAAAAATGGAGGGATGCTACAAACAAAAGTAGACAAAAGAAAAAGCAGATTGAAGAAGAAGAGCGGATTTTGAATGAAAATTCTCCACCACCAAGTGAACATGGTTCACCTGGGCCTGCTGAACCACCTAGACCTGACGGAAGAATAAACTCAGGAAGAAAAAGGATCAAAAGAAACAAGACAAAATGCTATAGGGAACTGCAAGAGTTAAAACTAAAGTATAAAAAGTCTACAAAAAAGGCAGAAAGATACAAAAAGCGTTATCTGCGACTTTTGAAATCTAAAGACAAGGAAAAAAATACTGTTTCAACACCAAGAACAAAAGTTAAACGATTGCTTAGAGGGCAAACTGTTTCTGAAGTTATTAGGAAAAAATTAGTCTTTGGGGAACTACTTGAACAAGAAGTGTCCAAAACTTATAGGAACACCGCTAATATAAGAGACAAAAATGTGATCAGAAACATATTTAATCCTGAAACTTTATGTAAATATAAAGTGAAAAAATCTGTTGAAAGATTAGTTGGTATTAATAAAGCAAAATACAACAAAACCTATAAAACACTACAACAACAAATTGCAACTGATGTCAAAAGTTTTCTTGAAAGAGATGAGTTTAGTCGTTTATGTCCAGGAAAAAAGGATACTATTACATGGAAAAAAGACAAGAGACAGAAGCGATTTCTAAACAAATCTTTAAAGGAAATTCATGAAGAATTTTTGAAACAATCAAACGTCAAATTATCATACTCTCTTTTTTGTCGATTGAGACCATTTTGGATTTTGGACCCTAAAGTTGAGAATAGAGATACTTGCCTTTGCAAAAGGTGCAGCAACATGTCAATGCTGGTTTCAAAGCTTAGTGCTATCAAAGTGATAGATGAAGAATGCCCTGAAAAGCTTGTTAACAGCTTATGCTGTCCTGAAAAGACGGTAGAATGTTTGTTTCGAGAATGTGAGGAGTGTCAACACAAAATTATACTATACAATAATTTCTCTGCCAATGATACAACAAGTTTTAATAAGTGGATCGATGAAAAGGTGGAAGTTGTCATTAGAGGAAACAAGAAAGAGGTAAAAAAGGCGACCAAAAAAACATTCAATTGCACAATTGAAGAGTTAGTTGAAGAGATAGAGAAAAACATAAAAGCGTATATGTCACACTGTGGGCGCATCAAAGGACAGTACAAGGCAATGTCGGACAAAAAAGAAAATCTAAATAATGATGAAATAATCATTCACATTGACTTTAGCGAAAACTTCAGTGGCAAATTTGCAGAGGAGATCCAAAGTATTCACTTTGGAGGGTCTAGAAGCCAAATAACGTTACATACAGGCGTGCTTTATGTTAAAGAACATAAACCAATATCTTTTTGCACAGTTTCAGAAAGCAAGGAACATGGTTCGGCAGCCATATGGGCTCATTTAAAACCTGTGCTCCATTATGTTCAAGCCCAGTATCCTGATGTAAACAAAATACATTTTTTGAGCGACAGCCCATCAGGGCAATACCGAAACAAAACCATGTTTTATTTAACAAAAACCTTTTTGCCAAAGATATTTGTGGGATTACAAAGCTCTTCATGGAATTTTTCTGAGGCCGGGCACGGCAAGGGTGCTCCGGACGGTGTTGGAGGGTTCATAAAACGAACTGCCGACAAGTGCATAGCACAGGGGTCAGATATTATGAACATAACTGCCCTACTGGCTATGCTCAAAGAAAAGTGTCGTAAAATTGTTGTTTGGAGGATAAACCAGGAAGAGATCACTTCTATAGAGCAAATGATTGAAGAAGCAGGAGTTCTTTCTACTGTTCCTGGTACATTTTTGATACACCAGGTATCATGCAGCAAAGAAAAGGTTGACTATCGCACTATGACCTGTTGGAAGTGCGAGCCTGGAGTACGATGTGAGCATTACAGTCTGGACATAAAGAAAAATGAACAACAATGTGAACAACAGAATAAACCGATAGAAAAAGGTAAATTATTTAAATTTAAATACTATCATTACCTCTCTGTCTAATAACGTCTTAAATATTATAAATAAACTTAAAATTAAAACGTTTTTCATGTTTTTTTTTACTAAATTTTGAAAATAAGGACCATAGGCCTACATTTAAAACAATTTTGGTTTCACAACATTTGCTTTCTTCAATGACAACAATTAAAATCAAGACTCGATTAACATATTGTCAATTAACTTTTTTTCTTTTCTAGCCTTAGATGTTGGCGATTGGGTAGTCGTCACATATGACTCGACAAATTATCCTGGCGAAATAGTTAGTGTGCAAGAAGAAGACATGACCATAAATGCCATGCACCCAAGTGGGCCAGGTGGTTGGAAATGGCCACCAAAACCAGATGTTCACACCTACCCAAAGCAAGATCTTGTGAGAAGAATTGATCCTCCAGTGCCCAGTGGAAGCAGGGCTGATCAGTTTATTTTTAAGGACTTGATTTAAACAGTGAACAGTTTTTCCCTTTGTACTATATTATACTTCTTATGTATTGACTAACATACAATATATAATGTAAACTTTAATATTAAATGAAATGTTATGTTAAACTTTAAAGAAAATTTTGTTTGCCTTAAAACGCGTCAGTCCCTTGGTATATGCGTCAGTCCCCTGGAGGAACGATTTTTAAAAATTGTGTTAAAATTGGTAAAATGCTTGAAACTGTATGATTAGACTGATTATTATCTCATTTATAACCTATTCAATTATAAAATTAAGAAAAAAAAATTATTTTAATAATTTTTTTCATTTTAAATATGGAAAGTAAAAAGATTCACTTTTTGTAGAATCACCCGGGCACATTTTGTCTGAATTATTTGTATAACGGAAATCATTAGTGGAAAACTGTGATCACAAATTTCCGAGTGCAAATCCCTTGCTAAGGAATATGGTTCCGTAACAGACATTATTTTTCAGTTTTGCACCAACCAAAGAAGTAACTTATAAGTAACATTTGTACAGATATTTGTTAACATTTACCATATTTTTCCACCGAGTTCATTCACAACCTTGGACCCAAAAGTGTCATAATTGTTTTAGCACAATTACGCAACCGGACGATTCTTGCTTGCTTGCGTTTTCCTCCCTAACCCACATTCTCAATGATTGCGTTTACATTTTCTATTCATTCATCATTTCCGGCCAGGCACTCTTGTTGTTTAAGCAATCCGCTATATTTTGTCCACACGAGTTGGAAATTTCATTCATTCACTCCCAATGGTAGTGGGGGGTCGTACTGACTACTGGCGTTTCATAAAACAAGTTTGCTTCTTTGGCAAGTTCTTCCAATCTATATTACGTGGACTTGTGAATCTCTGCTTCATTTATTTCTTCGTCTAATTCTGTGGATTTTAATACTTAGTAGGTCTACCACTTCACCTAATACACCTTTATATATTATAAATATTTTGATTGAAGTTTCAAGTAATTTTACGTATGTATTATTTTAGTCAAGGTTTTGTGTAGAGGCCTAAGTAGGTTTAAATGATAAACACCACTTGACCGTCAGAGCAAAACTTGATGAAAGAACACAGTTAAAACGTTTTGTTTACTTATAATTATTTGCATGCCGTTTCAAATTAGAGAAGTGTTGTAAATTATCGTAATTATGTCCCTTATTGGCACCTATTGCCGCAATTGCTACGACAACATTCTCAAAGTAACACAAACGCATTGCATCATATTGAAGTAATAGGCTATATTTAATTCTTAAACATAGGTTATGAGCATATGTTATACTGACATAGGACAAAGTGAGGGTTAACCTTTTCAGAGTATATATATTTCCTCAGTCAGAAACAACTTCAGGATAAAAAAAAATATGCCATTAAATTTGATATACTCCTAACTTTCACTGCTTGCTAGGTGTTTAATCACTTCTGTTCTAATCTATTACTTATCATGTATGAGTTATTTATTTTAGTGAAGCAAAGCTAAGTGGTTAGTAGTTGACATTTTCGTCCCATATTTAATGAGCTAACTAATAAATCTTATAAACGCAACTAGTTTCCGTTAAAAAAGTGATCAATGCTAATAGAGCAAAAAGTGTGCAAAAATCATCGTACACCAAGACACTATAACAGTTTTAACACTTCTATTGAGTTGCAAACTGTTTTTCCTCTTCGACGGAATCTATTGTTGTTTCATCACAACTGTTGTTTGTAAAAAATGATTTAGAAGTCCTTTATTAGTTATTTTTACAATCTAATTTGTAGTATTTTAAACTTAGAAAAGAGTTTACCACTCTTAACATCGTGCAATAAGTGTTGTAAAAGGTTTAAATTGGCAACGCTGATTTCATAGGGAATTCCACTTATTGGAAATCCCTGTAACCAATCCTTTTGCCACAATCTTCCAGGATGTACTGTATGTAAATATATTTTATATCCATTACGTGTCTGTAATTTTCCAGCCTATCGTAAATTTTAAGCATCCGTTTTAAAGGTTTAATTTAATTAATACAAATCGACTTTTTGCTTAGGAGTTTATCCAATAAATATCGAAATTACTACATCTCATAAAAATAAATGCATTGCGTCGCCAATATACTCCCCAGTAATAAAGAAAGGGGCGTTATCTAACCCCTTGATGGAATTGCAATATAACTCGAGTTTTAGAGGGCGGCGCTCAAATATTTAAAATGTGTCTATTCTAATGGAAACCATTTATGCTTCGGATATAAAAGATTTTTCATTTCCTGGCTTGCCGAAGGGTAACGTCACCCTCTCTAATTTCGATTTCAAGTCTCTGTCAAAATAAATGGGACCGAATTTGTCCAATAACCAAATTAATGTAATAAATGTTTAATATCTACGAAAGGTCGATTGCTTGTGAAATCGGAGTTTGGAGTCAACCCCTTTAGGGCTCACCCCTGAATCACATGTTCACTGAATTTTAATCAACAAGGAGTTTGTATATTTCCTAATCACTTAATAATAATAATGTAATTTTTTTACATATATTTTAAACTTAGAGCTAACGGCGAACAAAATTGAAACAAAATACCAAGGTTAAATATGTAAGTTGTATTAAGTTTTCAAATACGTTACTATACTTTTGCTATGTTTCACCTTTGCCATGTTAAAAATGTAGAGTTTCACATGCAGAATATATCGTAGTACACTTTTATAAATACTATTGTTTAATGTTGTGAATAAATTAATTGATCATCAACTCATGATTATTTATAAACTTTGACATTTTATATGCTTTTGTTTAAAAAAAAAATACTTTTAGTATAGTGACATTTTGTTTGTTTGAATTGATTATATGCCGTTTAAACATCGTCTTCATGAAATTTATTCACATGTTTAGCCTACTATATATGATATACACTTATGAATTGTCTGAATGTCAACCAATTTAGTAGTTGGATCTTCCTCCACGATCAATTTCGTCCCAATAACTACTTTTTCACTTAACCTTACGTCCCCTCTACCAACAGTTCTATCCTAAGTGCACGCCGCCGATAGACAGAGCCATTGGCATTGACATTTAACTACTCCGGCGCAACGATATCGTCAGTTCCCGCCGATAGTAACCATTTTCCCGGGTAAACCTACGCCAAGTGTTGGTCCTTAGAACCAGTTTCCAGACATTGTTGCTCCCCAAACAGATGTTTCACCGTTATTACGGGCACACACCGTCTCTAATGACGGCTCGCTATCTAGGTAGGTACATACCCACGTAAATGGCAACACTGCATATTATTGTTATTACGGGCTGCATACTTTGTTGCAGTGTGGGTTTTTATCGAATAGGGTAATGGGGCGATAATTTCTTGTGTTTACTGTGTTGCCTTCTCTGTACAGAAAGGGGTTTATGTGGATCCCTGCATGGCAAGCAGGCTAGTTTTGTCTCTTGATGTTGCGCGTATCGTTACATGAGAGTGGGCTGGGGCGTTAATGGCGAATCAGAACTCTCCCGCAGTTATGGCTGTACTTAGCCTAATGTTTTATTTGATTGGAACTGTAGACGTTCCGGTCCCTCGGTAGTGTTATACTTTGACCTTTTTAATGCACCAACAACATACATTAAAACGCCTTTTCTTTATGTTCAAAATATTATGGTAAAAAAATAATGTTGTTGGATAGAACTACTCTCCACTTACTTGTTTCAAACTTTATAAGTTTGCTCAAAGTTTATAAGTTTAGATCGTAACATATGATTTTAAACGTCCTACCCTACTACATACTATACTAATCGAGCCTTGTACTTCAAAACAGTTCTAAAACAGATACATTCGTGCGTGTTTTTCTTATAGGTTAGGAAGATTTCTGCCTTTTAGCTACCAAACTAACATTTTAACTATCCTATCACACAGCATACAATACCCCATACAACACCCCCTCTTGTTCGTTCCCCGACTCCCGTTATAGGCTACCGGTTGGATCTTATCCTTGCCAACAATTCGTTAAGCGTAAAAATTAATGCGCTTGCACGTACGATGCAAATGCGGTATACAATGCGGTCGATAACGGCCATGCAGTAGTCGATATCTTGGCATTAACTTTGTCTGCTGGCCATATTGGAATTGCCTATAAATGATGGATAGTTCGATCAGTACACGCCTAGATGGAGATAGCGCGGGCTGTGTCCCCTTATTGCAGCATTAGAATAGAACAGAGTTGTGCAACTAGCGGTTTATTACCACATAAATATCCTCAACTGTTGTACCCTTCCTCCCCTCCCCTCCCTCTGTGCAGCAACCTGCGTAGAGCCAAAACACAAGTTTGGAACTCCATTTTGTAAGTAATCAAAGCTAGTCAAGTTGGGTCAAGACCTTTTTTTCCTCCTCCGAAAGTTCCTTTAACTTTTTTACAATCGAGAATATTATTTGTTTACTCTGTTCCTTGAAATAAATACCTCAATTCTCATTATAGGTGTGTGTATAACTTAATTACTCAATTTTCACTTGTATATATTCCAAATAATTCCCAACATACGGTACAGAGACCATCAACCTCATTCAAACAAAGACGTTTAGTTCTCCATTTGTAATACTATTCAAATCACTGTTTGGATTACAATTACAAAACCACGAGGCTTTAGCATAAAAGGTTGTCATTACGGTAAGAAGCTGTTAGCATAATCACTCAGCCCTGGGCGCGAGGAATTACAGGAATCTGCTGCGTTTTGAGTAAACAGAATACATCATGGGGTTTTGACTCTCATCTGGTTATGTTGGGATCGTGCTTGGTTTGTTTGGTTATAAAAACCAGTTTAAAATGTACAATATAATTATAACTTATAAGGACTGCAGTGTGATTGTATTTTAACATCCTAATTTAACTTAAGGAAGAAATATGCAACAAATTTTTAGTTATTGAGAGAATGTAGGGCTAGAATCTCAGTTTTATAAAGTCTTATTGCGTTAAAATGATTTTATCAATTTCACCCTACCAACGGATAATATACCAAGATATTTTACCTTATAACCTCATTGC